CAATCAACAAGTTGTCGGGCTTGAGGTCACGATGGATGACCCCTCTCTCATGAAGATGCTCCACACCCAAGACAACTTCTCCAAGATACTTTTTGACCCAGTCTTCAGGAAGGCCGCCCAGCACCTTGATGAGGGAGGCGCAATCGCCTCCGTTGAGATACTCCATGACAAGGTATAGATAATCTTTGCTAGAAAAGGTCCAGTACAGCTTCGCAACAAACTCGCTCTGTCCTTGCCACATCATGATAGCACGCTCCGCCTTGACGTTTCCGACCTGGTTTTTAGCAACCATGTCGGCCTTTTTCAGTACTTTGATGGCGAAATATTCTCCAGTAGATTTCTTTTTCGAGAGGTAGACGCTGCCAAAGGCCCCTTTGCTTATGGGCTTGATAATCTCGAAATCTTTAATCGACGGCTGCGACGATCGGGGCTGCGGCGGCGGCTGATTGCCAGCATTGAGGCGTGGAGATGGCGGCGGCTTCATGACAAAGTCGGATATTGCAGCCGAAGATTGTCTCCTGTGATGTCTAGACGGATGAGTAATGGGGGAGCTGAATTCGCTGCTGGGGAACATTGGGGACGCCTCTGGGGAAATGATTCCCTCGTGTGCATGGGGCAGCACCCGAGCCTTGATCCTCAGAGGAGAGGATGGCTGCGTCATCATCCGTGACGGGGATTCTTGCCGCCGGGGGGAAGCTGTCTCCGGGATCACTAAGCTCCGCCTGTGCCTCCTGGAGCTCGCTGCGCGTCTTAGATCGCCAAATTCAGAAATGGGCGACTCGGTCCTGTTGTGCCCTCGCGAGGCCACCGATGATGATCGTAGGCTTCCCTCGCTCTCGCCAATGTCACTCTCGAGCGGGAGGGTTGACCCTCGGCGTGAATCTCGAGATTGGCTTAGAATGCTCAACCCACCAGGATGAGACCGAGGTGTTGGGCATTCTCTAGGACTACTAGATCTAGTAGATCCGACAAACGATGTCGGGCGAGATCGTCCAAGTCCCCCGGACATGTCGACCTGACGAAGCGCTGCAGCCAAGGCAGAAGGGCTGGTAATGGAGTGATCAAAATGCTCTTCGCCGGCGTGGCTCGGCGGCTCGGTGGCTTCACTCCTCACTTCGATATCTTCTGTGTATGTTTCCGACTCATCAAGCTCGTCTTCGGTGGAATCGCTATACCGACCCTCGGCAATGCGAGCGGCTTTTCTGGTCGCCTCATCAATACAGTCTTGCACGAGAACCGCAAACTCGATGCGAATTCGCTCCGCATATTCGATAATCTGCCGATGGCGGAAGACAGCATCCACCTTGGCTCGAGCCACCTTTTCAGTATCTTCGCAGAGCAATGCCAGGCCTTGCTCTTGCTCGAGAGTGTTGGAGCTTGGCGATTGCCATTGGAGCACTTGCGAGATTCTCGATTCTGACTGTGGTGATTGGGTACGCAGTTCCCAGTTGCCATGCTGCGCAGAGCTCTCCTTGATGCCCGGGCAGCTGATTTCGATGGCGGTATCGCATAGATCCAACAGGAGCTCAACGATACGTGCTTGCGGTCGACGAATGGCAAAGGAACGGGCCCTGGCGTGTCCGAACCCGCCTGGTCTTTCTCGAGAGCGAGCGAGCGAAGTCCCGGGGGACGACTGTGCCGATGGTGGAGGGCCAATGGGTTGACCCTTGTACTCGGCGACGGGAAGATTGGGCGAGTCGCCGCCAGTCAATGATCGGCTCTTGCGTGATTCCAGAGCGTCAAGGACCTTGACAATGGAGTTTCGATGCTCACTGAGGCTCTCCTGAGCCATTTGCACATCCATTTCAGCGTGGTGCTCTTGGAGACACAGGTCCGTGTGCTTTTCGAACCACCAAGGGGGTATCTGACGCTCGCAAATGCGGCAGAGAACTGGAGGCGGAGGCTCTGGCCCTTCTGATTCTTCACTTGCAGCTTCTGCTATACGGGTGAGGATACCGGCGAGGATCTCGACGCCCGAGCCTAGGGAGTCGACAATCACGGCGGGGAGATCGATCTGAACTTCGTGGGGTATCCACGGACGAATCATCCACATTGTCTAAATCATTCACCAGTTAGTAAATAGAGATGGTCAAGTCAAGGGCCAGGAGTCGATTTAATCGTCGAATCTCCTGTTCGCCCGTCCAGAGTCGAGAAGAACCTACATGGCTTTCACCGCCCGAGGCACTGTCGTACACCATGATACCCTGTGCCTCGAGATCGGCCACCTCCGTTTGTGGGACTTGTGATGGATCGAGAGCCGCAAAGCTGTCCAACGAGCGTAACTTTGACAGAGGGCCCAAGACGACAGAGAAGCGGACCCTGTGGCTCTTGGAGTCGTCCCTCTTCATCGAATCAACTACATCGGTAAAGATGGACTTGTTGTCGCTGGCTATCAAGTCGGAAATGGGGACGCCCTCGACGGACTCGACCTTTGTGCCAACAACGTCGGTCCAAGATGGACTAACCCACTTGATGGTGCCGTCAAGGTTAAGGTATGCAATGGCGTTGAGCGTCTGCTCGGCCGCCTCTCGCAGTTCCTCACGCTCTTCCCGGATGTCCTGGCTGATGGACCTCTCCATGGCCGTGGTCTGCTGAGCTCGCAGCGACGAGACGGCCGGCGGGGCCAGCGAGGCGACGGCGGGAGTATACGGCTTGTCCATGGCGACGAGGAGGGCGACGGTTCACGGCGGTGATGGTGGGGGAAGCTGGGGTTTGTTCGTCGAGAGACTCGGGGTCTGGCGAGGCGGCCAGAACTACAGACCCATGAAGCTCGGATACATGACGGAAGACGGCCAGCGTAGGGTCACAGCTGTCGCTCTCGTTGTCGTCTTTTTCTTCTTCTGTTCGCTGGCGAGGCGTCGTATATCTGGCAACAGGGTAGGCAGGGGCCCAGGTCGAGGAGGAGAGGGCTGACGAAGGGAAAAAAAAACAATCGGATGCCCTGCGAGCAATCCCACGGCCCAGGCGGACGCAACAGCCAGAAGGAGCCCGGCAGCCGACTCTCAGCACTCAGCAGATGGCCTTTGGCAGATGCTGCTAAACGACAGACGTTGAATCGGCGACGGGATTGCCCAGAAGCAACAATCGCTGGCGAAGCACCACGCAGACAGAACTCTTGTTGGATGCCAGTCAGCTCACTGGTTTCACGATGGCTCAATTGTTAATCGACCAGGTACGGAGTACTTCTGGAGCCATCGCGTCCTCTCCCCATGACACATTAAGCGGGGGGGCTAGAGCCCGTGGGCCAATCACGACACACCATCTCCTCTGCTCTTTTACCCGCCTGATCCAACCCTCCCAAGCCGCCTCTAAACTCTGCTGGCAACAGCGCAGGTTATAGCGCAACCAGGCGCTGGGCGCTACACCAACAGGGCCTACGGGGGGGAGAAGCTTGGCGGGCTTTAGCGGCCTTGGATAGGCTCTTTAACCCCCCCCCCGTGCTGTGAAACAAGACGGGACATGGAGCTTTGAAACACACTGGCGCTCAGGAGAGGAAAGATTGATAGGAAAAATGGAAAAAAAAGAGAGAGAAAAAAGAGAAAAGCCGCTTCAGGGATTTCCCCCTCCAAGCAACGCCCTCCCTCACATCGCTGCATGATAATGCCTGTCTGTCAAAGGACGGGCTGATTGGCACGGCACGGCACATCAAATGGTTGCTGCGACCACGCCACGTCCCGTAAGCGGTGCTTTGGATCAGATAGAGTAATGACATTAATAACGGCAGCAATGGGCGTGGGATTGGGCTTGAGTCTTGCGTGGGTGAATTGCCGGCTGGTCTCAATCGACACTGTACATGCAGCACTAACAGCTTCTGATCTCATTGCCCATGTAAAGTGCGGTGCAAGCAGCATCACTAGGTCAACTATACCCCAAGTCTAGTCGACATCCTGATGCTGTGGGTGTCGAGCAACTCGTGCTAGGCATGCGTGGTTGTGATGGCAACGGCATGCATCAGAAAGAAGCGGCGATAAGGCTTGGGTGCATTCGGAGAGAAATGCTCTAGAACGGTTGCACCATCAACGCCCTCGTTTTGCATGCGTTACAAGCTTTACAAGCTTTTGGTAGGACCAACGAGAGCGACGAAGCAGACAAACCAGAGAAGGGGGAAAGCTGGAGTTGGCGCCCAGATCGGCACAATTGGCCTGGACTTGGGATCAATGGCTTCGTCCCCTCTCCTCCGCATTTTGCGTTTTTGGGCTTGTTTTTTTTGGGGTACCCTCACCCTCATCCTCACCCTCATCCTCATCCTCGCCCTTCCTCGCTCCCACTTGTTCCGACGGTGTGATGGCACGTCCAGCAGCTCTAGCTCCAGCTCTCGACAAGCTCAATGGCCTCTCATCTGCCACTTCACACCTCCCACTCGGACGCTAGCGCTGCAGCGAGCGGCGGCGGGAGTGAGAGGAGAACGGCGAAGAGGGAACGAAGCCCAGTGGAGGGGATGAAGCAACGAGCAGCATTCGCACCGTAGGTCAATGTGCTAAGCTCTGCATCTCGAAGGGGCTGTGGCGCCTGGCGTCTGGGATGCACATCACAGGAGCCGATTACACTATCTTTTCAACCCAACTTGGATCCAATACGCAACGATATAATTAGCTCTGCCCGCTGCGCTTGCTGCTTATTTGCATTCGGCTCCGTTTAGTATTCGAGCGTTTGATGGAAAGTTGATTGTACTGATTGATGCTATTCTTTGCTTGTTCAAAGACAACTCCGAACTCCCGAAATTCCAAGGTTGTCAGCCAGTAGAAGCAAGCTGCTTATCACCGTCGTCTTCTGCAGCCGGTGGCCCTTCCATCTCAGATGTACACGACACTGCTAGTCTAGCATCTCTTGACAAGCGGGAATAAAACCAGTAGGGGCAAACCCGAGAATAGACATGGCCTGTACCCTGTCTGCACCGGTTAAGAAGAAACATGTAGTCTAGTGGCAGCATGAGCATCATTGATAAGGCGCTATCATGGATATGTACGAAGAAGTCATTTGGAGGAGGCATTGATTGAATTTCAACAGGCTCCTTCCTTGCGGGCTAGACACTTCTGTCTCTGAGCTTCAAGCCACTCTCCCTTTTCAATCCATCGCCGCTCCAGCCATCTGGCCAGCTCAGCATCCGTGTAAGGCAACGTCTCGATCGGAAACCTGCGAGCGTGCACGTGAAATGCGTATCCGGCCTCCTTGCTCAGGCTCGGGATGCTCAGGGTGTCCCACATGGTCGGCACCTCCTGGAAATCACTGCCTCGCCGGTACAAGATGGTCACGTCGTACACAGCCTTGATGTGTGGTGCCTCGCGGAGGTGCTGGACCGCGGCGATGAAGCCCTTGGTGCGGGGATACAGGAGATGCATGGGCTGGGGGCGATCCGTCCTCTTAGACCATGCCCGCGACTCTTGATACTTGCGCTGGCTGAAGCGAGTGGCCTCGCTGAAGATGACGAACCCTACGGCGGTGAAATCTTGTCAGGCACTCATACATCCATGGTACACGGCACACGGGACACGGATTTCGTGCATGAGGAGAGGACGGGAGCCCACTTACAAGTTGGAAGCCTCCTGGAAACGAGCCCGGCAAGGGCACGGTCGAGCCCCGATTTGTCCTTGAGCCAGCTACGGCTCACCATGGGCATACCCATGGCCCAGAGACCCCAGCCGAGGAAGGGCACGAGCCGCAGCTGGCGCTTGGCCAAGTAGCGGCACCGGCCCAGCATGCCCGAGCGTATTGCCAGGGCTTGGATCATATAGAAGTCTGACCACGCCCGGTGATTGGCAACGACAATGGCCGATTCGCCGGGGGGCAGCTCATCGCCGGAACACACAATCCTGGCGTCATTGACTCGCTGGAAGATGAACTGAATCCACGACCACACCGAGCCGGCCAGGCGAGACGAGAGGTTGTAGACGAGCTCGGGAGCCAGCGGCTTGAGCGGCAGCAGCAGCGATAGGGCCACATCTGCCAGGAACAGATACAGGAACCAAGGCACCGTCAACAGAATGCCGCGGACGTGTGTTATCAGGGACCTGTGCAAAGGGCCAGGCATTGATCCCTCCCAGAGCACAAGTATTGCAAGTATAGGTACGGTACGTCGGAAGTCTCTTATTGGAAGGAAGTGGCAGTACTCGTAGCACAGCCAGTGCCACTGTAAGCACTCTGTCTGATGCAGGATATCTGTCGCAATTGGGAGTCGGGTTTGCCTTTTAAGACGGCCTGGATGATGGCTGGTGGTCAGACTGTCGACTCACATGACGCCATGTTGTGTCCTGTTGGGGTTTGAACGATTGAGACGGCTCAATCAATGCTATTCAGGATTCAAGATAGGAGGTCGTAGAGTGAGCGCCTCACACAGTGTTGGCAAAGTGTAGCTTCAATCAATGCTTTAGGTGTAGACTACATGTGCTATCCATCTAGGAGAGGAGCTACGAGTACTGGAGAGAGAACTCGAGGCTTGGGCTCTCAGCTGAGCCAGCGCCCGTTTCGTCCTATGCTACCTGTATCCATCCATACGCCACGGCATCTTCGAGTGAGATAGCCTAGCACGGTGACAAACCAGAATGCAACGGATAGGTAGTACATTCATCTTCGTCAACCACCAACCCGGTGCTGTATCTAAGAATTCGTCTTTGATGATAAACCTGCTTGCCAGTCTTTTGTCTTTACAGCCCACTATTCCGTACACTTCTAGGCATTTCTAGACATCCATCTCTCCGTAGCATGTCGTGTTACTATTCATTTCCAGGAGCCTCACCGTCTGTCTTGGTAATTTTGCCTGCCAAGTATGTAGGTACTACAGGGCTGTTACGACATCAGGCCACTTGCTTCATCGGCCACTCTTGAATGGTGGGATCACTGCAATTGTTTCACTTTTCTTCTTCTTCTTGCATTGGCAACCCGCCACACGTTAAATTGGCCGCCGCCTTGTATCACTTGCTCTGCCCCATATCTCGTCGTACTCAGTACGGAGTCCAGACGCTGGTGCTTACGGACTGCTGTGGTAGCACGACTTCCCAATCCATTAGTAATGATGCTGAGGTTCGGCACTTGTCCATCGTAAGCAAAGAGCTGCGAGCTCATTGGCGCTTTTAAAAGAGTGCGGCTTCTTAGCGCTGCAACCCGTTCACGCGCGGTCTCAACATTGGAACTTTGGCCAAAAGCAACAGCTCAAAAGCCTGCTGGAGGGACTGACGCAAGAGGTGGCTTGTGGTGTTTGGCGGCCTTTGCTTCGCTCTTCGGATTCGCGACTCGGGGGCGCCATGATTTGAGAAAAAGGGCTGTTTGAGCAGAAGGATCTCGAGGTCAGAAGTTCTCGGTACGTGATGTTCTGCCACCTCGTAATCCGTTTCGGCTGTGAATTTCCCTCTTTGCACGCTCCATGCATGTACTCGGTACCAAGCCAAGTCGAGTCGCACCGCCCGCGGGCTCCCACCTCCTACTCCTTACACAAACCTGAAGTCTTATTGCCCAACTCTCCTCTCCTCTCCTCTCCTCTCCTCTCGTCTGATCTGCGCGACCCGAGACATGGACCCGCGCAATTTGCCGTGATTCGGAACAAAATATTGAGCTGTTGTGCTTCTGCTGCTTCAATTCAATTTCATCCAATCTTTTCCACTCTGTTCCGCCGGATCGGGGAGCCAACCCTACCATTGGATGGACGTCCTGGATTGATGTAAGATAGTTCTGCCGAGCGCTCCACTGACTCGCCTAATTTTGCCTGCACCTCCGGGCCCAGCACCCGCTAAAGGCTCCCCGACCAGCCCGTCTTTCAGGGCCCTCGCAGCCCCCCGTGGGACACAAGAACCCCGCTGTGCCTCGCTCGTCTGCATCTGTGCTCCTATTCTCCATTATCCCGCTGCTGCATTTAAGTCCGGACCCTCGAAGCAGGCCAAAACCCGATTGTCGGGAATTGAACCGCCCAGATACTACCTCGCGGCTGCTACTAATTTCTCCCTGTTTCGTATCATCTCTTACAAGTACTTATTACCGTCTCCCGACTACCTGGTTCGAGGTGCTCTCGCGTCGTGACCCAGCTCATCTCGTCTCGACTCGCCAACCCGAACCGCTCTCAACAACATACCCCAGACATCTATCGCTCTTAGTACGAGCAATACCTAGGAACAACTCCTCTTCTCCTGTGGATGTGGGTAGCTCACCCCTGCCTTGCCTCGCCTTATCACCCTATCGGACCGTGAACGCTGCTTTTGAAACCATCGACATTGGGCTTTCGACAGCATCCTTTCCCCAGCTGTTCTGACACGTTCTGGGCATCGCTTGACAGTACGCCTCCGCTCCCCAAGTCCAATTGCTTCTGGCGGGCTGTGATTTTGCCACACTGTGGCTGCGAGCTCGTCCGAATCTCACGTCGCACAGTGGCTTATCCGTTCACAGCCGGCGAATATTTTAGCATCCCTCGCGCCAGCGACCGTACAATCGATTTTACTCCTCGTTCACAAAGGCTTGATCCGAAGCACCGCGAGTCGCCATGTCGTCGTCGCTATCCCCCGAACAGCTCGAAGGAGGTACCTCTCGGGCCTCTACCGAGGGCACCGACAAGGGCGTCCTCTCCTCTCTGAACCTCAACTTCTTCAAGAACCTGTCAGATAAAAAGGTCACTCGCAGTAAGTACTTGCGACATGCCACAGACCCTTGCACTCTCGCCAAGAGCGGCGGCTGATGACTTCTCCTCTCCTTGAATAGCTGGGAATCCTCCCAAACGCCGTGGACCGAAGCCGGACAGCAAGCCCGCCCTGACTAGGCGGCAAGAACTCAACCGACAGGCTCAGCGGTAAGCATCTGCGCAACAACATGCGACGTGGTGTGAGAGTGTAGCAAAATCTAACGAGCCGTTGGTCGTATCTAGTACCCACCGCGAGAGGAAGGAACTGTACATCAAAGCATTAGAAGACGAAGTTCTTAGACTGAAGGAAGTCTTCAGCACAATTTCACAGGACAAACAGAAATTGGTTGATGAGAATAAGCAGCTCAAGGAGGTTCTTGTCCAGAGAGGCATTCAGGTTCCGAGAGTGGACGACTCAGCAAGCAGCGCTGCGCAGGCGATGAGTGTAAGTGCCTCTGGCATTAGCTACGCGCCCGGCTCTTCAAGCGGCTTCTCGCCCGTTGCTACGTCTCACGCAACCTCCATGTCAATGTCGCCGGACAACCGCCAACAGTCGCCTGCCGGGAGCGGGGCCGATCTTGAGCAGGCTGGTATTGACTTCGTCTTAACGTACGAGAACTCCTCCTCGAAGGCATATCTTTCACCTCCCCCCCAGTGACCCTCGATCGAGGTTGCCACTTCACAGCAGCGCGAGCCAACACTGTCGGGGGCTTGATGCGCAAGGGCCGGTATGCTAACGGTTGCGACTTTTGTCGAGGGTTCATTGTAGGCTCGAAAAACCTTGCATGGCACACATGCCATTCTTGGTTGACAGAGCGAGCGACGCCGACGGCGCACCGTGCGGTCACGCCCTCATGGCATCTTGCCCTCCCGCCCCCTTTCAAGACCTGACGTCGGAAACCCCCTTCGGCAACGCGCACACGCACGACCACGGCGGCGAGTTTCACGCGCAAGGCCAGGGAACGTGGGAGCTCACCAAGGCCGACTTGTCCACGCTCCTGGACCTCAGCCGGAAGCTCAGCCTGGACGGCGAAATCACTCCAGTCATGGCGTGGGGGATGGTCTTGTCTCATTCCAGGTTCGCCGAGCTGGAAGTGGGCGATTTTGAAAAGCTTTCCGAGGAGTTGCTGCGAAAAGTCAGGTGTTACGGGTAAGTATTTCGTTTTCCCCCCCTTTTCAACTCCGTGTTTAGGAATGAATGTTCTCTCATCATTACCTCGGTATGCTGACCCTCGTGAACCTAGTTTTGGCGCTGTTCTGGAGGAGTTTGAATTACGGGATGCTATAGAAAACATTTTTTCTGGTCGCCCCGAGGCAATGGTCTTCTAAACCTATTGCTACCTCACGTCTCTTGTTTAAAAATTGTTTTTACCCTTGATTGGGGGCTACTGCACAGCCCCCCCTTTTTGTTTTAATGCTAGTTGGGTGTTTGTGTGTTAAAAGATTCCAGGGCGAACCTTGATGCTTGGTTGCGTCCATGTCTAATGGCGGTATTTTCTCTTTTGCTGGGCTCTGCACTCATGGTGTGCATATCATTATCCCGTTTCTATCTAGTTTAAACCATTTTTCTATACCCAGCATGTGGGTTTTCAATCTACTATATACCTACTTATGCAGACATATCCGGACCATGTATTATAATGGATTGCAATACAACAACGTGATGCATCGCGAGGATGTCTCTCTCAGTCAGCGCTGTGGCTGATACAGCTGAGGAAGCGATAAGATAACACAAGAAATTGCCTGTGGCGGTGCGACAACTGGCACCAGCTGGTGGCGCGGGGCTTGGAACTTTTTCTCGTTAGGTCGCCCCACACCCCACCACAATTTCGATTCAATGTTGGAAACCAAATTCATCGCAGGCCGGACGAACGAATCATCACGAGCATAGCGAAAAGCCTCTCTCGGACCCCAAGCGGAAACAAAGAGAGCATACGAAGCACCTCCGTCAACATGGCCGAATCCCTTGACTTTGTCAAGATCTGCGAGAGCTGCCCCCCCGGGGACGGCTGGGGTCCTGCGGTGACGACCGAGATCACTCTGGATGGCGTTCCCTATGCGCCCTTCTCCAAGGGCGACAAGCTGGGGCGCATGGCTGACTGGACTGCCGAGGGCAAGGACCGCGAGCGTGGTGGACGCCTTCAGTACAGCCGTCAATATAGAGGTACGGTGGCTTTATGTCGTGTTTTGTGACTCTTGAAAGGAGGAAGAGTGTGCTGACGAAAGAACACGCAAAAAAAAAATAGACCAGCAGGTGTATGGTACCGGCCACGCCGTTGTTTTCAATGCCCCTCCCGCCGAGGACGAGACCAGCTTTTCCGTCGTCAGCAACACCAGAGACTCTACCAAGTCAAAATTCGGCCGTGGCGCCGTCTTCACCCGTGGCCGGGGCCAGCGTGGTGGCCGGGGCGACACCCGCGGTGGACGTGGAGGCCAGTTCCAGCGAGCTGCTGGTGGCCGACAGGGTGGCTATGGATACGAGCGCGGCGGCCGCGGTGGTGCTGGTGCCCGTGGCGGACGTCGTTTCGGCTGGAAGGATTATGACAAGCCTGCCCGCAACCGCGATGCCAGCATCAACATCAAGGCCGACTGGGAGCTTCTCGAGGAGATTGACTTCAACCGCCTCGCCAAGCTCAACCTCGACACCGACGATGGTGAAGACCTGGACGACTACGGTTTCCTCTACTACTACGACCGGTCCTATGACAAGCAGCCCGTCAAGGGAACCGAGAGGAAGCTCACTGCCATTGACCGTGCCGCCTACAACGTCACCACTTCATCCGACCCCGTCATCCAGGAGTACGCCGAGAAGGACGAGGCCACCATCTTTGCCACCGACAGCATTCTCTCCATGCTCATGTGCTCTACTCGCTCAGTCTACCCCTGGGACATTGTCATTGTTCGCCAGGGCAACAAGATCTTCCTTGACAAGCGTGACAACGCCAACCTGGATATGGTGACGGTCAACGAGAACGCCGCCGATGCTCCTCTGGACGCTGCCGATGGCGGTAAGGATGCCATTAACCAGCCGTCTGCCCTTGCCGAGGAGGCCACCTACATCAACCACAACTTCGCCAACCAGGTTGTGTCCGAGAGCGACTCGACCAAGGTTCAAATGGCCCACGCCAACCCCTTCTACAACCCCTCCGAGGATACCGACCCTGCTGCCAGCAAGGCCTACAAGTACAGGAGATTCGACCTTTCCACCAACGAGGAGGAGCCCGTCTACTTGATTGTCCGTACCGAGATCGACGCCGTCCAGAAGAACGCCATCAGCGGCGAGGACCAGCTCATGACCATCAAGGCCCTCAACGAGTTCGACAGCCGAGCCCAGGGCAGCGGAGGCGCCCTCGACTGGCGGACGAAGCTCGTGGCCCAGCGCGGTGCTGTCGTTACCACCGAAATGAAGAACAACAGCTGCAAGCTGGCCAGATGGACTGTGCAGAGCATCCTGTCCAAGTCCGACGTTATGAAGCTTGGGTATGTAGCTTTTTTTTCCTCGTCCACTGAAAATCTCTCCCTCTTCTTGCTCTGTATTTGCTAACACTTTTGACTACAGATTCGTCTCGCGTGCCAACCCCCGAAGCAACGATAAGCACGTTATCCTCGGAGTGGTCGGCTGGAAGCCTCGCGACTTCGCCAACCAGATGAACCTGTCCCTGTCCAACGGCTGGGGCATCGTCCGCACCATTGCCGACATGTGCCTCAAGCGCGAGGAGGGCAAGTTCGTCCTGGTCAAGGACCCCAACAAGTCCATCCTGAGACTGTACCAGGTCCCCGCCGGCAGCTTCGAGGACGACGACAACGAGGAGGAGCCTGAGGAGGTGGAGGAGGAGGCTGAAGAGTAAAGCCATTGATTTTTTTGTGTGTTTTTCTCTTTTTTTACCAACTATATGTGATGTGTTTCATAACCTGTCCATGTCCAACACTTTTACTTTTTTTTCACTTTTTAATGAGTGAGTTGGTTTCGATTTTTCCAGAAAACGGCAAATATCTCATGATGGATACATACCTAGGCTAGATCTGGTCTCGTTTCAGGAGCATGGTAGCTTACTGGGAATGGGCAAACGAAGATACAAAAAAGTTTTTTTCTATATCCCATCCGCTTCCTCATGATTCTCTCTCCTTGATCTTTACTCACCCGCAGCAGGAGGTGCCACGCTCACATGTCTTATTTGTCTAACAGCTCTGTTTATTTATCCCAGCAAAGTCTATCTCTGTCTCTCGGCCTATCGTGACCAAGCCCTCTATCGAAGCAACACCGTGCCTGATCTATCTGGGGTATCTTTAGTTTCGCATCTCGCCTCACACAACTCCTTGAAGACCTTTTCTTTCCAACCGCTCCTGAACCGTTGAAAACAAAAACAAACAAAACTTTTCCCCCCTTCCCATCAGATGCAACTCCATGTTCCCCTTCTAACGCTGAGCCTGTTGCAGATACCAGATTCCAACCTCCTGAAGAAAATCCAGCAGCTGCGCAGTCTTGGTAGCTTCATATCCCATCTCTCTCATCCTCCTCTCCTCTCCGCACAACCACTCCCGCGCCGCGTTTCCCCGCGGCTCAAGACCAAGACGTGTACTGGCAAAGTACGCCGCGGCAAGGAGCCGACGATGACGACGGCCTGCGTCGGGGTCATGGGCGATGAAAGCGCGAGAGGTCCACACAGCTTGGAGTTCTTCGCGGAGGCAGTGGTCGAGCGGCTTTGGGGGGTGGGATTCGCGATGGTTTGCGCGAGCGGCGTTGACGAGATTGGTGCCAAAGGACTCGGTGTGTTCGTGCAGAGGCCAGGATTCGTTGGAGATGGGCTGCTGGTAGTGGTGGTCGAGACGGTTAAGGATGTCTGAGCCAATTCGGAAGTCATCGATGGAATGATGATGCTGCATACGTCTGTCCCTGAGCAAAGGCGTGATGGGTGGGAGCACAGGCTGCGAGAAGTCGTTTGCTGGAGAGGCGGGACGGCGGGATAATTTCTCCTGAGAAGAGGCCGCATAGTAACCCTCGTTACTAAGAGAAGCTCGGTGCTGTTGATCGTTGCCGCCATCATCACGGACAGCTTCGATGGCAGGAATTCTCTCATAGCTGGAACTTGTCGTCTGAGGCTCACGACGAGCGGCGTACTTGGGCGAAAGCTCGTTCATCCCCTGAATTCGACTGGCAGAATGATAATACGACGCCGGAGCGACGGAAAGCCGCGGCTCCATAGGACCATGACAGCCATACTCTCGAAACCCTCCAGCACTTTGCCAGGCGACCTCTCCATCTCGAGCTCGAGCAGCCTCATCCGACGCCACGACGAAAGAAGAAGCCAAAGGGCCCTTTGACTCATAACCTTGTCTCCGTCCACGACCTCTCTGCTTCTTGGTCCCCGACGGCATCTCCTCTCCGTTTCCCAAAGCCTGGCGTTTCCGCTTGCGAAGGGTAGGCGCTACGTCCCAGTCCACGGCGGCGGTATCGATGGTGTGTCTGGGGTCGTTTTGCAGACGGCCGCCAACACAGCATTCATGACAGATGGAGAGCTTGCAGACACGGCATTTTTGCAGGGTGCCGCAGCGCTGGCGGTGGCAAAGATCACATTTTGCGGTGGGAACGTTTGAGGCGTCCCATCCGTGATGAGCGATGTCGAAGATGGGTGGGGAGTGTTGCTGAGACTCGGGGTTGGTGGTGGTTATTGCGCGATGTTTGTTTGGGGAGTTGGCGGGATGAGGGTTTGTATCTGTGGTTGGGTTCTTGTCTTGGTTGTGGGAGGTGTAGTTCCCGTCATCTTTGGGGGTTGACATTGTTGCTAGCTCTTATGACACTTATAAGTCCTCTCAGAGCGAGGACGACTCCAGTAATGCTGGATTTTTAGTATCGTGGCTTTAGATAAGTAGATGCTGTCAGTTGGACGTGAAGAGAAAACAGATAGCCAAGGGATAAGGATATAAGTCACCGTAAAAGCCCCGTCAACACCAGAGTCCCACAAAGCTCTCAAGCGTCAGAGAGGCAAGAGTGAGCAGGCGTGACTGGTCTTGTGAAGTTGAAAGCACATGAGCAGAGCGAGGAAAGGAGCCGAAATAAATACATGTTGAGCGGAGAAGCGGCCATGATGTCGAAGAAAGTCCCGGAACGATACGTGCTGTGCAAGATTCACTGCTGCAAACGACGGGGAGCAAGTAGACAGGAGTCGTGGGCGGTCAAGAAAGGATGTTTATGTGATTCAGTGTAAGTGTCGGGAGAGTTTTCGGGGTTGAGCTGATGAGTTGAGATGTTCCGTTTGTTGAGGGGGATAGCGTAGGATGATCACGGTTGGTTGGAGGGGATATAGACGCGTTTGGGAGAGTTGTGTTTATATGTTTTGTGGGATTGATCATTGAATCAAAGCTAGAGTTGGATGGCTCTCGAATTTCATGGGAGAGAGAGCTAGTATCAGATGGGATGATGAAGGATCGATTCATGGAACAGCGATGGAAGTGACCCATTGAGAGGAGAAGTTGTGAAACAGTTCTTCATTTTCTACCATGTATTTTCTTCCTCTTGATTTTCATCATTAAAATGGCAACATATACTTGTACATGGACAAGACGGGCAATTGTCTTTGGTTATAAACCCGTGTGTCGAGGCTCATATCAGTGTGGTGATATAAGTGCTCATTCCTGAGCCGTCATTAGAGCACAGGTAAGCAAGCACTCCTCATCGCGCCACTACACGTAAAGCAAGAATAACTCCATTCCAGCTATACGATGGCAATGGCAATGGCAATGGCATCTTAAACCAGATTGTCACAGCCACGATGATGGCGCTTGGGGGCCAAAGCCAAGGCGCATGTTTTTTTGCTGCCAGATGAGATGGGCTGTGGCGCTTACATGCACGTCTGTCTATCTACATGCATGTATGCATACGAACAGGTACATCCGATCCAGATACTCGATTAGTACCTAGTAGTCGCCACTCCCCCCGGCCTGGCATGGAGGTTATTGGACGCCGGTCGACCATCAGCCGCAGCTGGACGAGATGCGCGGCATTGTGGCGCTTAGAAGTGCCGACGATGCGGCAGTATGAAGTACTTGTGTAGACGGGATAGTACAGGTACTAAGGAACTAAGGTACAGGTACCTACTATCAAATGGGATTGGATGTGTCGTAAAAGGGCTTCGGGCGAGAATCAGGCGCTACGGCACGCGCAGGGCTTAAAACAAGGGGGGATTTGGCAGCGTTTCATGGGTGTAACATCACCTACTATAGGTAATCAATGCAAAAATGTGCCCTTGCAGCAGTACCGTAGCACTTGACCTGCTTACGTGTACACGTACATACATGCAAGTACACATGTAGTGTATTCGTAGATGCGTTGTCTGTCTGTCTGTCTCTGTGTTGGGTTTAGGACAGACGAAAATACGAGTACGCGTCAAGCACGATTCAACGCCGGCTGCCATGGACTGAAGCGAGAACGGGCAAAAGGTTGGGCCGATGGAGTTGAGAGTCAAGACTTGGAGATGGCAAAAGAGCGTGCGTACGAGTACCTACTAGGTAATGTACCTTGGTATGCGCCACGGCTCATCGAGGCTGTGCGGTGGGTGGTGCGAGTACAATTCGGATGACGATGGCCTCTCCTCTTCAGTTCGGCGTGCGGAGCATCAGATGCACCAAGTTGACAACTGGAACTACTAAGCTAGACCAGATCCAATGCCTTGACATGTATGAATGAGCCCATAATGGTCGTGCAGGTGGAGATAGCTAGGTACTCGTAGTACGTACTACTATCCGGAAGCTGCCCAAGCTTAGCCAAGCACCGAGAGCCAACAGGCGGCGCCACGGGCAGCCTCGTCAGCGCATCGTGCCGAGCCAATGGCAAGGCGACAGGGGCCGCTGGGTGATGCTCAGCCGGAATCGCGGCACGGGCTGCAGGCTTGGGGGAGGGTCCGACTTGGCGTTGAGACAATGGGAGCATGTTTTTTGGTTTGTGGCTGACGGGGGAGGTTTGTCGGACAAGATTCGATTCAACGGCTCTGCTGTAGCTTACAGGTACTAAGAGGTGTTGTTGCGTGCCCAAGTAACAGGTACAGAGTATACATTAGTACCTGCTCGCACGTGTAAAAACTCGAGGCCGCCCAAGTTCTTGTTCCCTTTTGCTCATTTCCCACTTCCTCTTTCGTCCACCCGTTCCCTCGTCATCCAGTTGCAGTCGAGGTATGTACCTATGTTCAATGTTACGCCCTCACCCTCATCCTCATCCTCTTCATCTCTCCTCAATTCCTCGTTGGACCTCAAAAACAGCCAAGAAGCATCACATTCTCATTCTCAGCATCAACCCGCAACAAATCCCCACTCCCTGGCCTGATGCTGCAGGCATTGACGTCTCTCTCCCCCCCGGCTAGTCGAGCCCGGCTTCATTCATCCTCGTCCAAAACCGACTGTGCCGTGACATTCAAAGTTGAAACGGGCGCTGCACTGGTCCCCCAACAGCAGCACCGGCATTAGCGCTCTGCTCATTTAATGCATCCATTGATCCATCCATCAATCCATGGATCTCATCGGGCGCGTGCTTGTCAAAGTACCGACCGACCACTGCCACAGCCTCCCTGCGCATCCACTCTCCATTGGAGGCCACTTTAAATGCTGGAACCCGCTAATCTTTATTTCCAGACAACCAGCATTCATTCTCACCCTTCCATCGCTAATTTCCCCTTCCGCTCTCTCTTCGATTCTCCGGATTTGATCCTTTTCTTTTCTTTCTTTCTCAACCCAAAAACACTTTCGTTTACCTTTTGATCTCCTCCCCGTCTCGTCGCAGCGCGATCTGAACCAGAAAACATCAACATGGCCTCCAACGAATACTACCAGCAGGGCTACCCTCCTCAGCAGGGCGGCTACCCTCCGCAAGGCTATCCTCCCCAGGGCTATCCTCAGCAGCCCCAAGCTGTAAATCAACCCTCCATCCCGTCCCCAAACTCTGCTCGCATACCCCCGTGCGCCGATTCGATCAAATTCAAATTCAAATCCAAAAAAAAAAAAAAAAAAAAAAAAAAAAAAAAAAAAACCTACTCCTGAACCAAGTCGACTCGGCAATCGGGCGTCGCATCTTGCAGTCAAATCAGTCAAGAGGGCCATTCGCTAACCTTTCACGCGTCATTCTAGAGCTACGGCCCTCCCCAGGGGCAGTACGGCCCTCCTCAGGGTCAATATGGTCCTCCTCAGGGCCAAGCTCCCATGCAGTACGAGCAGGCTCCTCCCCCGGATAACCAGCGCGGTCGCGGCGGTGACCAGGGCTGCTTGATGGGCTGCATCGCCGCTCTGTGCTGTTGTTGCGCCATCGAAGAGGGATGCGAGTGCTGGTATGTGGCCTTTTCAATCTCAACCCTCTCCCCCCTTTTTCTTTCCAAACCTCTCCCCCACGAGCCTTGTTTGCGCCAATCGCTAATACCATGCTAGTATCGATCTTTGCGAATGCTTCTTCTAAATTACCAATCGACCACATCTAACAATCACGAAAAGGAAAGGAAGAGTAAATGTCCCCAGCGTGGACGGGGGACGGAAGAAGGCAGAAAAGAAAAATCAAGGGAACACACAGTCTCCCCCCCTTTTTTTGAAAGTTTTGTTGTTTGTTTGTTTTTGGTTGCGCTCAAGATGGGGGAGCGCTAGGTTTTACACGAAAATCCAGTTCATAATATCTTCACCCATCTCTCCGAAATCGGATTAATACGCCGTCCTCTTTCATTGTCTTTTTTTTTTCTTTTCTCTTTTTTTTTCAAATCAATTCATACCCCGCCTGCTTTTCTTACAAAGGATAGGATAATGGACAGAGGAAGATTTAGTACCACGATTTCCTTCCCTCGCTAATACAAGATTGTCTTGAGAAAGCAAAAACCTGGCGAATGAGTGAGTGTACGGGCGAGCATCCTGTAGCTTCACGTATGGATCCCATTTGGTCAAGGGAAGTTGCCCAACAAATACGGGATGAACCAAGTCACTAGCAACAAGACACATACGAAGCCTCAAACTTACAGCATCACTTTTGCATGTTGAGTAGAAGTAAAAAAACATATATTTTTTTGTTCCGCCATCCGCCTTGCTAAAAAGCCCATCTATGTGGAAACAACTCATTTACTAGCCTCATCAGGCATAACATGATTGTTTATTTGTTTGTACATCTACCTCGTCCCACATCTCCCCTCAAGCCCCCTCCTCGGTCCCTCTACGCCTCTTCCCAGCATCTGCCTCTTCTTTACTCGTCAAGCTTGACATAGTTGGCGGGGAAGAGACCCGAGTGGCCGCCGTAGTGACCGAACCACCAATCCTCGTCGGGGAACTCCAAGTTGGTGATCGTGGCATCCTCAGGGAAACTCAGTTCTGCCACAAAAGTTAGCCATTGACCATGACATCATCAATTCAGGGGGGTTTTCTCTCACCATTGTCCTCGGCAGCTTCATAGTCATACAAAGCCGTGGCTGTCGGGCCTGCAGCTGCGCTAGCCGGCGCTGCTAGTGGAGCAGCAGCGGCCACAGGTGCCGGCGCCGGCTCTGGCTCTCGGGCGGCAACGGGGGCGGCCGGAGGCGGCGCGGCGGCGTCATCCTCAACAAGCTCGACGTAGTTGCTGGGGAACAGGCCGCTCTCTCCCCTGACGTTGGTTCCCATCCACCAGTCGTCGTCCACCATGTCGATGTTGGTGACATACTCTCCCTCGACCAGGTCGATTTCGTTGTCCTCGGCCTTTTCATAATCATACTGAACCAGAGCGCGCTTGCCGCCTTGCTGGTCGTGACTGTCGGCCACTTGAGGAGCGTGCTCAAACGTCTGCTCCGCCACGGCACCGGCTGCGGCTCTTGCAAGGTGGCCGGCCTCGTGCTCGTCCTGAAGCTCCTCCTCTCTGGGAACTGGGACTTCCTCCACAGGGAGGGGAGGAGGCGCGCGCTCCTCGGGCCTCTCGATGGTCGGCTCAGGGCCGCGAGCCACAGGCACGGCGACACGGATTGGTGACGGCGAGCGCTCCCTCTCCTGGGCCACGGGCTGGTATGCCGAGGGGTCCTCCTCCTCTTCTTCTTCGTCCGCAGGGGCTGGGCGGCTGGGAAGGCCGGGGAGGGCGAAAGCTCCAGGTGGCCTGGAGCCAGCTGGAACAGGCGGTGGGGCCTGGTACTCTTCCTCGACTGCTCGTGTCGTGGGTGGTTGGCCGGCCCCAATAGGGACGGTGTTCTTAAACCGGTCTCTCAAGGCAGACACGCCCGAGGGACCCGAGGACTCGTCCTCCGCAGCCTCTCTGGCCTCTTCTGCCTCCTGCTGATCCGCGCCTTCGGGACCACCACGTGTGGCTCCTCCGGTCTGAACCGGAGCCCAGCTCTTGCCCGTGTAGCCACTCTTCCAAGACGAGCCGCCGGTCTGCTGAGCCTGCTGAGCTGCTGGCACTGGCGACGCCGCGGCAGGGATGCCGCTAATGCTTCCGCCTTCTCTCGCCTTCTTCTCCGCCCAGATCTGAGCTGGGGTCTTGCCACCTTGGTCTGCAAACGTCCGGCTAGCAGCTCCGACTGGGGCGGCTGCTGGGGCAGCCGGGCCACCGAATCCGAGACCACCTGGGGATGGCGCCTTTGTACCGGTGAAGGCAGAGGCACCGGACCACTTCTTCGCAACGGTAGGCTTGGGGAGTGAGGTCAGCCGTCCAGCGCTAGGCTGCGAGAAAGCGGCTGCTCGGTCGGAAAAGTTCTGGGTTTCTTGTTCCGCTTCTTCTGCAGCTGGTTCTGCTGGTTTTTGCGCCTTGGCCCTAATGGCAGCAATGTCGACCTTTCCGACAGGCTCATACGCTCCCTTGACCGGCGTGGGTCTGTCATCTCCCGTCTTCTGGGCCTTTGCCCTGATGGCCGCAATGTCTACTTTGCCCACAGGCTGGTAGCCGCCTCCGACAACGTCAGACGAGCCCGTTTCCTGTCGGGGCACGCCGGCGAAGCGCGAAGGCTCCGGCTTCTGACTGGTAAGCTCTGCCATGTTCACCTTGGTTGGCTGATAGGCAGGCGCGACCTTTTCGATCTGTGTTCGAGTGACGGGAGGAGCGTCGGCTCCCCACCCATCCGCATCGACAGCGCCGGCATTCCGGGATCGAGCAGCAACGAGAGGGTCGGCAGGACGGCCCGCTGACGACGAAGGTGTGAAAACAGGCTTGGCCTTGACTGGCGGGGGCGCATGTGTGGCAGCTCCGGCCGAGGATCCGGCCGAGTACTTGGCACCCGACGCATCGGCAACCTTGCGCATGATGGATTCAGGCTCGAGGTCGCTGTCGGAGCGGGCGGTGATCTGAACGTGATATCCGTGAAGGACCTTGGACACGGCGGCCAAGTGGCTGGTGAAGTATCCCTTTGTGCGCTCAGGGACACCTCCGCCGCACCAGCCGATCAGAACAAACTTGGGGAGGCCAGAGTTGGGGTCCTTGACCTTGACAAAGGCGAACTGGATTCGGCCCTCGCTGAAGTCCTCAGTCAGTTCGGTGAGCTCGCCATCTGGAGAGTCATTAGCATGTTAGGCCGACGAGTGCAAAGCGCAAGGGATCATCAATGGCTCGCATACCGCCTGTGCTCTGAACTTTGAGTACGCTCTCCTTGGAGCCGCTGTCCTGGAAGGCGTTGACCAGGGGAGCTTGGACGGAGAAGAGCGCCCACTGGGCGTAGGTGGGCGAGCCGGATGCCGGCGCTTCTCCGCCAACGACAGCATTGTAGCTGCTCTTTATGGAGGCGCCGTTTGTAGAGAGGTTGAGAGACGCCATCTCGAGGTAGGAATCGTGGGCGTAGCGATGGAGGTCGATGGAGGTGAAGGGACGCAGAGACTAGAGAGTAGAGGATATGGATGACTGGAGAGGAATTGAGCTCCGCTCAGCAATGGCTAGCGACGACTCTGTTAGCATCAAATGCAACTCAGGGGAGACGAGACTAGCAACGGCGGGATGTGGCCTCACAATGCAAATGGCCGTTCTATCGGCAGCCCAATAAATAGCACGGCTAGGCTATGCTACTAGTATGCTTTGGAGAAGATGGGAGATGCTGCTCGGGTACTGTATAGCAGCAGTAACTGCTCGGGCACAAAGGGGGGGTTTTCGGATTCGGGGATTCGTGGCCGACTCGAGCTGGCAAAGCTGATGGAACTGGCTGTCTGGCGGGACATGCGTCGACAACTGCGTGGCGCCGAGGCGGGGACAATAAGCAGCCTGCGTACTTGTAGATGCATAGCCCCGGTGGTGGATTGCACGTATCGGGTCGGGATGAGCTGGGGGGAGCTCAAATGACGCAGAGCTGCCCCTCTTTGCTGGTGGCAGGTCCGCCCACCCCCAGCGCTCCAGGCAGCGTTTATCGTTAATACTGGTGCCTGAGAGCGCTGGAACTCAATGTTCAGGGGCATTGGATGGATTATTACGGCTCTTGATGTTTGCATGAAGCTTGATTTTGGCTTGATTCGACTCGATTCAGTGTTGAATTCAAACTCAGCGATCCCCTTTCTTTAGGTAACAAGATTATACCATATGGCGTAATCTCAGGTTATCACAATGTACGCGTAAGTGAGTACTGGACTCAGCGGGTATAGGCACAGGCACCCGGATGGATAGAATTGAAGGAGGCCTCATCGTAACGAATCCTCGAATTAATCCTACTGTACCAACTCACTTACCAACCAAGACACTAGTGGATTCGGCATCCATCAAATGTTGCTCATTGGCTCATGTGCAGGACAGTCGTGAATGGCCTCCAAATGCAGGGTAGTCACCATCTTCTCCGTGTATAATCAACATGCCCCCTTTGGAATCTCCGGCAAACCCGTTGCGTACAAGGCGTCGGAACCCCAAAGCCCAAGATGCACATCCAGATGCACAGGAATCGCTAGGCCCTAGACGTATGCAAGGGCAGCATAACCACTTGTGCTGCAAGATCTGGCTGTCTGGAGTACGATACCCTGCCGTCTAACCAGAGCTCCATTCCGGAGTTAGGCTCTTTCTCTAGGCCGCGTTGCGGTGCCTTATCTACCGAGGTACCGTCCTTTGTTACCTACTTCATGTTCTACCTTATGTTATTTATCGTTGGTTTAGTCTAATAAAGGAGAAAAAGGAAAGAGACCCTCGAGATAGATGGGCCTCGGTGTTGCTTGGACTTTGACAACTTCAGCTACCGAGCCACATTCTTGCGTACCTATATTTAGCCCAACCGACACGCGTTTCATCTCGTCGTCCCAATGTGCCCAACCTGGCTGGGGTGAATGGCAGCCAATCGGATGGATTCCTTTCCGAAGAGGGAAATGTTCATCTCAGCTACCTCGACCTTCTTCCGAAGCATTGTATTGGTACGTTGCGATATCAACGGTATTCTTCTTATGATGCCCTTAGTTGACACTCTCGCTCTTAGCTGTACGTATGTACTACTGCTCCTGTTTGCCATCATGCCCCGAAATAAGCATAAGACCGAGCTTATAACAGGTAGAGGCTATTTTCTAAACGAGATTTCGCACTTCCTGACTGACCCGAATTCTCCATCGAGATGAGTACAAATCGCATCAATGCCTAGGTACGTGAGTGCCCAGCATTCTACTTCGTACCTATGCACTCACTCAATCCTTCAACTCGTTTTCTTTGTACTTTAGTAGCTCTAAATCCTTGCGTTTCCTAAATTAGCAATCAATCCCGGCAAAAATCACAACTTGTGATGTCATTTGAGCTCATCAAAACCTGCATGTTCTGCCATTAATTTTGCGTCTCAAAAGGCGCTCTTCTTTCCTTCAGTTGATTAATGATCATATCTTGTAAACATTTCCATTGGCAAAGAATTTGGCTCGTTGCAGCCCGGCTGCTTACAAATGGCACACCGGTGTAGAAATATCACCGGCCCTGATTTCAAATGCTTGCGATGACCTTTGCGGCATTGGGACTTGCGCCATCACTTTTACCCCGCTAAAAATCCAACTCTGATACTCGGTACTCCAGGCCGATTCTCGCCGTCTTCGCCCACAACCGCCATACAAACATCCGTCATCTTACACATCCGAACCTGAACTCGACCTCGACCTCGGGCCTGGTGACAAGATGTCGACCATTACCGAAATCCTGACCGATGCGCAGTGGCAGCAGGTGCTCAGCTCTGCACCCGCCTCAACCCTCATCGTCGCCTCTTTCCACGCACCCTGGGCGGCGCCATGTGCCCAGATGGCGACAGTCCTGTCCACGCTCGCATCCGAATACCCCGTCACCGACCCGCTAAGCACCCAGTGGGTGTCGATTAATGCCGAGGACCTCAGCGACATCAGCGAAACCTACGATGTGACCGCGGTTCCTTACCTGGTGCTGCTGCGAAACGGCGAGGTCGTCGAGACCGTTAGCGGCAGCAGCGCCGTCAAGGTGCGGACGGCCATCGAGAAGCACGCAAACAAGGCCGGAGGCGCGACGCAAGGTGCTGCCGCACCCAACGGCACTGCTCAGGCCGCCGAGGTGGCCCAGGCCGACGCCACCGTCACTGACCCGGCCAAGCAGAAGGAGGAGCTGTTCAAGCGTCTCGGCGACTTGGTCAAGGCAGCCCCCGTTATGCTCTTCATGAAGGGCACGCCCAGCTCTCCTCAGTGTGGCTTCTCGCGACAAATGGTTGGAATTTTGCGCGACAACTCTGTCAAGTACGGATTCTTCAACATCCTCGCCGACGATGATGTGCGCCAGGGTTTGAAGGAGTATGCTGAGTGGCCGACTTTCCCGCAGCTGTGGGTGGACGGCGAACTCGTTGGCGGCCTCGACATTGTATGTGCTATTTATTACGTGAGCATTCTGGTATTTCACTGACATTGGTTACAGGTTAAGGAGGAGCTCAGCAGCAACGAGGAGTTCTTCAAGCCATACAGCGTCGCTGCCGAACCGACGGCGGCATAAAAAACAAGGTCGAGAAAGGTGTAGACAACACCTCCTCGCGTTTCCGTCGGTGATATCTCTGGTGAAAATAATCTTGCCAACTATTACGGGTTGGTGATGGAACCGTGACACAGAGCTATATCGAAGTATTCCGGTCTCTCTAACTGTAGGAAGACGCATGCTACGCAGGCCCAGGAGTGTCCGGGAGGTGAGATGCGTGGGACGAGAACACAATGGCAAATTTGCCCCTGCATATCAAATAATCGGATGAGCGAAATTGGAATCGGAGCGTTATATATGTCGACGAGGTTGAACATGCGTGGCCAAGAATAGAAAAGAAGGGCCATTTACTGAGCTGGTCATGTCTGCCGAGTCGGATATTTGATGAAAGCAAGGAGGATATGATGTATGAAAGCCACAATTTTATTCAAAATGAAATAAAAAAATAACAACTAGAAAATGATTATCTTGAAAACCCTTGTTTCGTAAAGTATTTGATGCACAGCATATCCTAGGGACTCGACTTGGGAGCCGTCGAGATCGGAAGCTATTAATAATCGTTTAGTTTGAAGGCACTACCAAGGTAGGCGTTAAAGGAGAGGTGTCGACCATTTATTTCCTGCTCTGACGAGCATACTCCGTGTTAGCCATACTCTGTATTATAACTTCCATGCAAGCGTATCAGGCATCTCCACTGCCCTAGGCACCAATTTAACTCAAGCGTCCTATCAACTCGATACACCACAACACTTGAGCGCTTTCAAAGAGTGTTCCTGAAACCTCAAATCTGCACGTGCTGCCCGGTATTTCAACTGCCGCTGGCACACTCCCAAGGGCCAGCAGGAAAAAGAGGAGATGGGAATCAGCCGTACGGAGCTTCCACGGCTTCGCTGCCCCCTTACCATTGGCCGGTTATAGTAGCTAAGGTAGGGGGGTCAATCGGCTGGTTCGCTGACACTCCGCGCTACAAGTACAACAGGTTGCGCTAGCACAACTGCTAAAAATCGACAGCCCGCGAAGAGTGAGTCACAGAGTTGCAGGAATGCAGCGTCAACTACGTAAACTAGCTGGAGCCTTGTCCATATCAGGCTCGCAGGAAATGACCCTGTATGCGTAGCGGCTTAACTCCGGGCTGTGCTCATCTCGCAAAGTTTTTCCCACCTGAAAAAAAAATACCACGGGAATTGTTGGTAGCCCTCGGCTGGGGGTCCTCGTACTCCGGAACAGTTATCAAGTACGAGCAACTTCGCGTGTACTCGGAACCGCCCCAAGGGTGTCTGGGCAGTGACGTGTTAGTACTCTGCTTAGTCGAAAGGTTGTTTTGCAGGTCAAACAACAGGCTCACGCTGTTTTTTACTTACAAAACGACGTCGGCACCGTGGAAGAATAAACGGGCCGCCTGGAAGTTGTTCCCATGGGCTGGGGGTCGTCATGGATCTGCCAATGGGGATTGCTGCCATGCACTAACACGGGGTACTTGGAGAGCCGGCTGACAAAGCAGCCAACCGGCTTTGAGATAAGCTTCCTGTTTAGTAGCAGCGGACGAGATCGAAGCTGCTTCGATGCACTGTTTGTGCTGCATGTGGTGAGCAATGTAGCGGGTGGGTTCAATTTGTCGAGATAAAATCATATGAAATGACCTGTCTCGTTACCCTTTCGAACCCATTTACTCCGCACTGGATGAGGGATTTGAGAACCAGACGCTGTGCTCTGCTATGTATGTACAACGGTTCATCGTACATCGCCTGTTCGTACAGCCGTGCCGGGGACCTTAGTAGCTACCGGTGTTAGTGCTGCACCGCAAACAAAGTTGGAGACTGAACGCCTCAAGTGATTACCTATGCATGCCCTCCCAGGTGGTACCGTTTGGTATCACGCAAGTCTCGCGCCCGGCTCGACACCACTTCCTGGCTCCCCCCCACCAACCGCGACTCTCGGGGGATCCTTTATTATATTTTGTGCCTTAACCTCTAATTCCACCAGACGTCCCTCTCATTCTTCTTCTTCTCAGAAACGCAAATTTTCTCTCATCCCCCTCACTTCGACGCCCTTTTGTCTCTGCCCCTCTCGCATCACCATCACCAGCTCGCCTGCAGGACTGACGTTTTCGGATTTCCGTCTTCCCCAAGTCCGCCACTCAAGCTTTCCGGCCCCTCTCCGCCTTCAACACAACTCACTGTCATATCAAGCCACCAAGGCAATTCCGCCCGCCTCTCGTCCGATCTCAAACGAGGCCGCGCAACTGCTGCCATCTCCAGCCCAGGGTCCGAGACCATCGCAGAACATCTCTTTTCGCATTACAACCCGAGCCCGAGGCCGTGGATTCGCTTTATTTCCGGCGAATGCAATCTTTTCTTACCGGCCACCGGCTGATCCTCTAAAAGGGCCAGTCTCATTCTCTCTGTCGTCGCACTGAACCGTCGCTTCGCCTCTTCCCCTTTCCCGGCCTGGCTGCTTCTAGCAATTGACAGGCTGCCTCCCCCTGCCTTCTCCCGAGCCCTCAGAGGTCTAATATATGCGCCGCATCAATCATAACCGGCAAGCCGCTTGTGAGGCCGGCTGAAGTTCAGAGCATTTCGGTGTGATTCTTAAGTCCGAATCGCCTCATCAGCCAACAACGGTCTGAGATTACGAGAGCCCCTCCGTGTTCCCTCCCCTCCTCTGCAATGACGCCCACTCCGCCTTCGACCAACTCTTCCACAGGGGGCCGCTCCCCTGAGGAGCAGTTTCGCGTTGTGAGGAAGAGAAATCGTGTGCCTTTGAGCTGCTACCCGTGCAGGACAAGAAAGTACGTCGTTATCTCCGCACTGTCCATGGACAAGAGTGTAGGCGTGCTAACCTCCCATGCAGATTGTGAGTGCCTGGGTGCTCGGATATGGCTTGGCCAACAGCCAAAGAGCAGCATCCTTTGATGCGTTTTTACTTGCTAACATGGTGTAGGAAATGCGACAGGAACCACCCGTGCAGCAACTGCACCAAGCGAGAGGGCATGGACACGTCGTCATGCTCCTATGCAGCTCCGGCAACCCGGAAAAAGAGCCAGAACCAGGCTGACGCCACGCCGGATGACATGCAGAATAGGATCGACCGGTTAGAAGGCCTTGTCCTGTCTTTGATGCATGGCGGGGCTAATGTAGACCCTGCTTCAGCCGCTGCGGCTGGTCGAGCTGCCTCTACGTCGCAGTCGTTAACTGATAGCGGCTCTTCCGCCAAAGCTGGCCGCGACGAGGGGGTGACAATGCTCGAAGACGAAAGCGACACGGAAGAGGGACTCGCGGCTTCGCTGGGAGTTTTGAAGGTCGACCCCGACAAGGGCAAGTCCATGTATATCGGCCAAGAGCACTGGCATACGATTCTGTCCGACATTTCCGAAGTGAAGAACTATTTCATGTTTCACAAGAAGGAGCTGGAGTCGAGCTACGAGCGTGTCCGGCTATCAAAACCAATGGCTGCCCGGGAAGGGCCGACGTTGTTGCTGGGTGCCTTGCCCGCCTCCGAGATTGAGCTTCGCGCGGAGCTGCCTCCAAAGTCGAGCATCCTGACCCTGTGCAGCCGTTACTTCAACTCGATGGACAACGCTGTGTGTATAATACACGGCCCGACGTTTTTCAAGCAGCTGAAAAGTCACTGGGAGGACCCGTCAAAAACGCCAATCATGTGGCTGGGATTGCTGTATTCCGTGCTTACTCTTGCCATGCTGAGCTATCACAAAGTTGGTGATGAGCCTCCTGAGTGGAGAGGCCGGACTTTGGAGCTGGCGTCAGAATATCGGTTACGGACAGTACAATGTCTGATCAAGGCAGACTATACAAAGCCGGTCGAGTACACTGTTGAGGCTATGCTTTTATACGTCTTTGGAGAGTACTCATCTCGGTGGGATGCGGACCTCGGGTTGTGGTTGATCGTCTCTGTCATCACGAGGATAGCCTTCCGTATGGGATACCATCGAGATGCCAAATGGTTTCCCAATCTCACACCGTTTCAAGCTGTAAGTTTATTTTCTGGCGCTTCGTTGACGAGCAAACGACTGATATGAGACGGCATAGGAAATGAGAAGAAGAGCGTGGGCGTTGGTCCGCATGTCTGATGTCGTCTTTTCACATCAGGTGTCATTGCCTAATATGATATACGAGAACGACTGCGATACCCAGCTTCCAAACAACCTTTTCGACGACGAATTCCACCCCGACACCAAGGAACTGCCACCGTCACGCCCCTCCTCAGAACCGACGCCGATATCATACATGATTGCGAAAGTGAGGCTCTGCTCCGAGTTGGGAAACATTTTGCAAGCAACAAACATGGTCGGCAAAACTGTTCCGTACGACGAGGTTATCCGATTCGACGCAAAGCTTCGCCAAATCATGCAGGAGCTTCCTCCTCATCTCCGACTTGGCCAACTGGAGGCGTCTCAGGATCCGGTGACGTTAATCATTGCGAGGTACAACATTGATATCTTGTTTCAGAAAATACTCTGTCTGTTGCACCGCAAATATCACGCCAAGGCCCAGCACAACCCGAGATATGCCTTTTCACGACGCAGTGCTATCGAAGCGTCACTGCAGGCGTTGGAACACCTGACCAAGTTACATCGCGAATCCCAGGGGAACGGCCGGCTACGCTCTGTTTCGTGGTACATCAAATCAATTGCGACAAAAGAGTTTACCTTGCCGGCCATGCTCCTTGTTCTAGACCTTCATTATGATAATACGGCACGGCAATCGGCCAGTCCCCCCGACGACGGCTTCGTCTACACTGACGAGCAACGAAGCAAAATGATCGCCGCACTCGAGACTGCCAAGGGCATATGGGCAGCTCTTGCTCATACTTCAATGGAAGCCTTCAAGGCTACCAAAGTCATTGAAATCATGCTAGACAAGATTAAGGTGCCTAGTGGAGAGGCCATGGACTCCAACAGCGACCAAGTCCCATCCCGAACCGATTCCCTATCTGCCTCAATTGTAGGCACAGGTTCATCACTAGACCAAACGCCCTTGTCGTTGGGCTTTGTGTCTCCCATCGGGATCCCTGGCTTTGGTGGCCAAGACCCATTTTCGCAGAGCAGTGCCTTTATGGGTATGGACTTTGGCCTACGGGCTACAAACGGGAACGAGTTTCCGCAATTTGACGCTCTCAATGGTAACGGCGCCGGTGCCGGTGCCTCTCCGCTCTCCATGTTTACAAATTTGGGCGGCACCGGGGCAGGCGACATGGCCAATTTTGACTGGGTAAGATTGTAGTTTTCTCTCCTTTAGCATCATATCAACTTTGGCTGACGATTTTGTGTTCAATAGAGTGCATTCGAGAACTACACACAGATGACAACTTGGGGAGCAGACCAGAGTTTCCAGATTTACGGTTCCGGGGAGCAATCGTCTCCGGAACAGGGGCTGGGCGATGGGGCGAGTATGATGAACGAGCAGCAGTAATTTGATGTGTATTTTATTTGGACACTCTTGTATATGATAGAACACGTTCGTTGGACATGTTTGATCTGGATTTGGGTCTTTGGATAAGGGAAAATGCAAGGTCTTTATGAGCAGGGACATTTGTAGCTACTTTTATTCCAAGTCCCCTCCTTCTCTCCGCTTCATGAGTAAATGGTGTCTTTGTATCTCTCTCTGTATGGTGATGATGCTGCTTGCAATGGAACTGTGTATGAGCCAAGATAAGTTGTTATGGTACTGTTCTGAGGTTGCAACATATTATCTACTACCTACCTGTACCTTAGTACTACTAATCTATTACCATCTACCTACCTAGTAGGTACTACTATCTACTATATCTACTACTATCTACTATAGTATTTACTATTATCTATTACCATATACTGCCATCTACTAGATCTATCTCCATCTACTACTATCAACAACCACCTACCAGACCTACCCCCACCTACTATATATATTTCCATATACTATATATATCTCCATCTACTAGATCTCTCTACCATACGCATCTTTTGTCATCATTCTGCAGTGCTCATCTCGAGTGGCTACTTCGCTTAGTCATTTCCAATCGATAAGCTGCCTCCAGCAAAAATCCGTGTTTCTACGTCAGCCCATGCTTTATAGGGGATTTAGCGCCCGTCACAGCGGCAAGACCGAAAAAGCCCCGGAGAAGATCAAGAGCAGACAGACAGCTCTTTCCGTGCCTTTTTCATTACGTCGTTTCTTTCCCTCTCAGGATATCCTTGCAGCCGCTGTTAGAGCTTCTCGATGATACTCCAACGTACCTTCCCGTGCTTGCAAGGACTCTGGGGAAGGGCTGATCCCTTGCATCGCTCCTGCAAAACACCTCGAGCGTGTTAATCTCAACAAATGTCTTCTTCCTCTTCGTCTCCTCAACAGCTCATTTCCTTCTCTATGCAATCATGGATGACCTTCGGAAGGGGCATTTGGTTGATGCCTCTCTGGCCTACCTACAGAAGCTCGAAGACGAAATGCGAGGTCTAAACGGGACTCAGCTCGTCTCATCCGACAGCAGCACCCTTGGCTCCCCTAGGAAGCGAAGGCGACTGGAGAGCTACGGCGACGGCTATAGCGAAGCCTTGAAGAAGATCAGGATCACCTCTGCTGGCCAGGACGGGTCGCGGCAGCTCCCAGCGGAGCTATGGCACCACATCTTTTCCTTTCTCCCGCCGGCTGCTCTTGGGCGCTGCCTCCGTGTCAACCGGTTGTTCCACAAATACCTCGATCCTGTCTCGCCCTTCATCATCTCTGCGATACACGTGCCTACTACTCGTATGTTGCCTACACTGGCCCCGGACGCCATCTGGAGAGCGTCCAGGCGTCTTCACTGGCCAGCTATGCCCACGCCGCTCAAGGGAAGGTTTGAATTGGACATGTGGCGGTTTGCCTGCACCCGGTCTTGCCAATTCTGCGGCCAGCTGGATAAAGCTTACAATACCGCTGAGGATTCTTCACAACGCCGCAGACCTGGCAATACCACTGTATCGCCTATCTTTCCTTTCTTCATCAATTCGTGCGGCAACTGTTTGTTTAGAAAGAGCATCAAGGTGAGCGACTTTGCCCTTTCTTGTTGGAGGCTTATCAAACGGCTGACAATGCCTTGCAGGAATTTGATTTTCATTTGTCATCAAGATCATCGTTCATCTCACCGGGCCTTCCTATGGTCTTTCTGACGGCTGACATGAATGTGATCTCCCCTCAAGAGATGCAAAGCATCCCAGTGACCATTACCCCTATTCAGGTGACAAAGGTATATTGGCCTGCCCAAGTGGAGAAGCTTCAAGAAGAGTATGAAGAAGTGAAGCGATTTGGCGATGCGGCTGTTGAGGAGTGGAAAAAAGGCTTGGAAGTTCGACACATTGAAATACTTCGTGACGCTTCCCGATGGGATAGGTGGCTCCTGTCAGGAGGCGTCCGCCAAATGCGCAGGCATTCGACCCAGCCAACTTCTACAGTTGACAAGCCGGAATGGATAGGGAGAAAAGGCTCAGAAATTGCCAAAACTCTACAGAAGCAACGACAGGACGTTGAGACTACTGTGCGAATTCATATCTCTAACCTCGCAGATGAGGTCATCAGAGATCGCTGGGTTAAGGGACGCAGCGTCAAGAAGGGAAACTGTGCAGACTTCGCTGCGGACGTGCTGGCATACGTCCGCAAACAGTTCTATAAGGACGGAGCGAGGGCCGTGTCCTTGACGCGAGGACTAACTCTGGACGATATGAAATGGGTATTCGAGCATAAGATTGGGCCACACACCAATAATCACCAGAAGGACTGCTTTCGCTGCAAAGAATGCCCGGGGTCAAAGCGTTACGGATTTCTGGCCATCATACAACACTATGCTATGAAGCACGGCCCAAAGAAGTCGAATAGCATGACTATACTTTGGAGAACGGAATGGCCTAAGGAGCCGCCATTCAGGTGCTCCGTGGAACAGGAGGCATCTATCAGCTCCACACCACCAATGCATCAATATTCGGGCGAAGGTCTCGTCGCCTCGATGCATGGTGTGCCGGACACATATTACGTACGCGAACGCCGCGAGCACGCCCCCTATGCAACAGAGGCACCATCTTCGGACATGGCATTGCAAAGAGAACAAAGCCTCGATTACCGACAACCGATATCTTCTACGACCCTCCACCAATCCTACGGCATCGTTGATGTACGGAATTTGCCGTATGGCTACTACATTCAACATCCCGCCATTTTACGCAACTATAGCATTCCCTCTAATGCTGTTTATTACAACTATACTCTCGGGGGATCGTACAGCAATACTGGAGCCTTATCACGAGTTTATAATGTTTATGAGTCACGAGATCCATTGGCCAATAGAAGATCGGGTGGTTGGGAATGAAAATGGGCATAGATTAGAGCTTTCATAGGAGCATCTTCCACTTTATTTTGTTTTTGCTAAAATATATGACAATGGCGTTTCGGAGCATCTTACTACTGAGGCAAAGGCTATGCGGTTGAAAGAAAATGGTAGTATGTACATATCTATATACCATAAATTAATACCTAGTACCTACCTATTTCTTAAATAAGCAGATGTTCTTCACTAAGAAGGAGCAAATATTATGAACAAAGGTTTTTATTAATAGGCCGGGTAGATTTAAATATATTTACTAGAGATGTTATAAATATTAGAGGTCTAAAGCTACTAGAGAGATCTGGAGATAGGTACTAGAGATACTGGAGATAGGTATCGAGAGATACTAGAGATATCTAGAGGTAATAAGAATATTCTAGGATACTAGAGATATCTAAAGATACTCGAGACATCTAGTCGTAGATCAGTCCGTACGGCGTGGCCACACATTATGCAGTATAGGTAGTGACAAGTATATTTCCTATCATTGGAGACATGGCAGAGTCGAGCGGTGTAGTTGTAGAGAATAATGAGAAATCGTGTGCAGCCATGTCACGGAAATGTATCCTCTTTACCATTCTTCGCCATTTCATCTCCCTCCATTGCATCATATACAGGTTGTTTACACTTCAAAATGAAACTCTCATTTTGACAATCCCACACACTCTCCAGTTTTCCCTCTTGAACAGGCGTGTTCTCTTTTCCTCGTCTCCTCCGCATCTTTTTTTCTTCTTCCAGTCATCCCTCCCCTAACCGTTTGCCTTCGTTAAAACCCCCATGGACGCCTCATTGATCGCCTTTTTTCGTGTTTTGAAAACCTGCCGCTTTTATACAGACATTTAACCTCCCAATTCTTTTTTCTTTTTTTTCTTTTAATGCCATCTTCTACTTCGTTTTCCTTCTCTTCATGATAGATTCCCAGACCATCACAGAAAAGAGAAGAGAGTATTAAAAAAGAACAAGAAAGAAAAAGGCACTTTGACGAGCTGCTTCTCCCCCCTTCTTTACAGGACCTCGCCGATAATCTTTGCTGCTTCGCGGTATGTCTGGAGGAGCTTCTCGCATTTCTCACGCTCCTTCTTGACGCCATCGTCCTCGTAGAGGAGCTCTTCGAAGAGGTTCTCCTTGTAGAGCTCGCTGACGAGGCGGTTCTGGACGACGTCTTTGCAGTGGTTGACGAGGAGGTGCATGATGGCCTTGGGGACCTGGTCGGCGATGGATTCGCGGACGATGTTGAAGTAGGAGGAGATGAGGGCGCGGATGAGCTCTGCTTCCATGGCCTCGCGCTCGGTCATGGCGGGTTCGTTAGATTCGCCCTGTGAGAGAGGAGAAGAGTTAGTCAAGAGGGAAAGAACAAGAGAGCTGTGTTGTTAAGCAGAGAGTGTGTGTATCAAGGCTTACCAGATGTGATGCCAGGCCGTAACTTCGAGATGATGGGTCATACTCGTCTGTCACTGAGGGGGGAGCGGTAGAGGTCCGGACCACCAGCTTCTCTTCACGGCGGAGACTCTGAGAGAAGGTGGGCTCTGAAGGGTGGCTGGTATGTCTGCCGTTGGTGGTGGGAGTAATAGGGGCGCTGACTGGCGCCATGCCATCCTTGCCGAAGAAGTAGTTCAAGAATGTATCGCGAGCACCGCCAATTCCTTGACCATTCATGCCCGGAGACGATGGTCGGATTCCATTCATGGATGCGCCGAGGCCAACCAGGGCGTCCTGGTGGACGGCAGGCGACATGCTTCGTGAAGGCTTCGTCGTGGCGAGTTTGCGAAGGTTAGGCTCTGCCCGCGGGGTTCCCTCCGCAACCGGGCTCTCCTCGCCATCCTCTTGTGGCTCCGTGCCGTTGGGTCCAAGCTCCTTGAGCCGCCGCTTCTCCCGGCGCTCACGCTCCTCCAGGATGACCCTCTTGCGTTCCCGCTCCTGTTTGGCGCTGACAACATTGCTCATTGCTGCGGCGGCGCCTAGGAAGTTGGGGTGGTTCGTGTTGATGTATGCGCGCTGAATGGAAATGAGTGACTCGACGTAGTTTGAGGCGGGGCCTAACCGCTCTCGCAGGAGATCCGATACCACCTCGATGAGCTTTGCTTGGAGTCTTGGGAATCTGGAAAGTTCTATTGAGCCGCATGTGTGGCAAATCTTGATGAGTTCTTCGTAGACAAGTTCGACGCAGCGCTGGCTAGGAATCTCCAAGAGCTTGATCTGGGGCTTCACAAGCAGATCAAAAGCCATCTCGGGCACGAACAAGCTGGGCCGAGGACCAGTGGAGTTGCGAATTGCCGTTCTAATATCCAACGCTGAAAGGTTTGAAGTGGGATCGATGGTATCTAGTGAGCTTCCAAAAACAGAGTTGAAGATGTAGTAGATTCGGGCACCACCGCAAAGCTCCTTGGTCGAGATTTCAGTGGATGTACCGTCGATGGAGGAGATGAAGGAGGTTGCGAATCGTGTCATGAGCTGCAGAATCAATGAGCCGCGATGCTCCTTTCCGCTAAAGTGCATATCACCATAGCCGGCGAGCTCCTGCTGGGTCTGGCCCATCAAAGTGTTGAGGCGTGCCTTGATGTCGGGCAGCCGCTCTCGAATGTGGGCCATGAGAGTCGTGTTAAGCGTCTTGGCCAAGAACTGCGTGCCACATCGGCTTGAGATGTTACGGTAAGCCGGGTGGTGCTTAAAGAAGTCCATTTCGGCTTTGAGGGCATCCTCCATGGGCTTGTTGCCCTGAATATCCTGCTGCGAGCGGTTCACGACGCCGATAAAGCCAAGCTTCAGGGGGTACACGCGGCCGGACAGGATGTCGAGGGCATTGGTGCCGTGGTCCATCAAGTCGATCTTGGTGAGAACGCCGATGGTTCTCCTGCCAAGAGGATCCACATGCCGAGCAAGCTTAAGAGCCTCTGAGTTGACAAGGTCGACATTGGCAGGCGACACCGCCAGAACAATACTGTTGGGCTTGGCGATGTACTCGGATATCAAGTTCCTCGTTTGCTTCTCGATATCAGAAGGCTGATCACCAATGGGCACCTACGCATGATTCAAACCAGGTTAGCCTAGAAGAGGAGCAGGTAGAAGCAAGAGGTAAAGACGAACCTTGGTTAAACCGGGCAGATCGACCAGGGTCAGGTTGAGGACATGCGGGGAGTAAATCTTGAGGTTTATGGGCTGTCTATTGATGCCTTTGTTGGTACCGGCAACTCTGGCTGTCTCATTCTCAATCTCCCGCTTGACATCTATAAAGTCGTTGAACCGTCTATTGGGGATGTGGTGGAACTCGGCCCATTCTGAGCGCCGCGCAGCACCGGGCGAGCGGTAGGGGTCGTTGAACGGATCTGGTGCCGTCTCATCCTCCGGGATGTTGATGAGCTGCAGGATCAGCGGCCGCCGGGTTACGATGCCGCTGCCTCGGGGCAGAAAGTCTCGGCCGACGATGTTTTCGAGAACGGAAGATTTTCCGGCGGACTGGGATCCCACGACGACCTGAGCGGCGGGGCATTAGCATCAAGCGAGGACAAGGGGAGGCAGATTTGCACTACGCACAATTTGGGGGAGGTCGAGGGAATCGTTGCCAATGGTGTTGAACACCAGGTCCTGCAACTTGTTGACCGTGTTGAGCAGATCTTCGCCGAGGGCCGCCATTGCAGCGTCTTGGGAGCCTTTTTTTTCCCTTATAGATTCTTTTCTTCGCCTCGGCCGGGGCTATCGCAGTCGCAGCGGTCAATTAAACGCAATTACCGGGTTGGAAGAGCAGCAGAGACGCCTCCGACAAAAGAATTCAGGCTCGCACAGGCAACGCGACGACTTGCGCTGGGCTTTTCTGGCGATCAAGAAGAGAAGCAAGCCGAAACAATGGCTTCTCGGGCAGTTTGGCAACGAATCGAGTACGTACCGATTCGTTCACGTGTAAAGGGTGGGGCTGGTTGATGGCTTGCCTCTTCAACGCCACAGGTACCAGATACCGGGTGTTGTGTGCAGAACCGCGGGACATCAGCAGTACCGAAAACCTCACCTCAGCCTCCCTTTGTCAAATGCCCCCCATTTCTCCAGATATCTGATGAGATAAAGGGTTGAGGGCAAGGCATGGGCAGAAGCCTAACTGGAGACGGCATGCGAGAGATGGGCTGCCATACATGCTGCGGGAATACGATTGCATGTTTAGTTTATTGTGTTTGTTTTGTTGAGCAGTCCCGTGCTTGTTCTTCATCTCTCTACTGAAGCTGGATGGATTACGGAGCACGAGTTGATCCTCTGGCATTGTGATTGTAGCCAAGGGTTTCGGCATACTTGCGACGGAACGCTACTATAGATATCTCGTCCGTCATGTCGGCTTCGTTATACGTAGAGCCGGCATCATCCATATAACATAGATACGAGCTAATGCTAACCCGCTACAGGTCAGAACCAGCTCTAGCGCGCTCCTTGGAAGAGCTATTGATGGTTCACCGTGTAGCACAGATTCGGCATGACGACTTTGATTACAGTGTCGAACCATGGCCCTTGAACCCTGGGTTAGTTTCCGGCTAATGCTTCAACTTCAGCTTGCGTGTGAAAGCCGCCTCCCAAACAAGACAACATGTCATACTGCGCACAACGCCGCTCACCTGATTGTGCTACCCAAGAATATCGGTTTCTCTCGTTCACGCCCGACAACGGAGTGTCCATCCGCCAACCCGACGATGCTTTCCGACCCGATACTGCGACAGCGGGCTCTTTCGAACTGCTTGAACTGAACACACTGTCTCTGGTTGGGCGCCTGTGGAGACCGCAGTCGACGAAAGAACACGACTGATGCAGCTAGCGGTTGAGCTGGCTTGCAGTGTGTCACAACGCGAATGGTCCGTTCCAAGACCCAGAGGGAGCCCTGCAAGCAATGCAAGGGAGAGGAAGCTGCTTCTGGCTGCTCCGACAGTCACTGATTGGATCTGTTGGCCTGGCAATTGTTGTGAGTCTGCTGCGGACATTGTGCCATCCCATATCCATACCGTGCAAAGCAAACGCAAAGCAACGCAAAGCGCCTGATCAGACTCGTCCATCCACGGCCCAAACCCTCCGTCGCTCGGATGTTGTCATCCCAATGAGGCCAAGACAGGACATGCTTGTACTTGTACTCCGTATGCAGCTATGCAATCTGATTCGCCACAGTTGCTAAAGCGTGGTTAGCTAAGCGATGCTTGCCGCTCTATCGGGGCCCGGCCCCACCGCTTTCGACATCCATCATGCGTGACAGCCGTGCCTCCAAAGTCTCATCTCGAAAAAAAAAAGAAACGAAAAAAGGGATATGCCCCTGGTGCGGCACCTGGAGAAATGAGTACCTTCGGCAGCCCTGGAGCGCTGCCAACAACCAAGCCAACCCCGTACGTGTTCTCTCGCCGTTGATTTGAAGCTCAGGAGTTGGCTGACCCGCCGTCTCCATAGGCCACAGCGAGGGAGCTTCCCCTTGGACCACGATGGTAAGCCCGCTGCAGTGGTTCAGTCCATTTTCCCGCCTCTCCTGGATGGCTCAGTTGTCTAACTGGACTAGGCGAGTGCAAGAAGGCCATGACCAGCTACCTCGCTTGCATGAAGAAAGTCCGTGGTGTCAACGAAGACGAATGTCGCAATTTGGCCAAGGCGTATCTGTCATGCAGAATGGATAGGTAAAAAAAGCAACAGAGAGAGAGGGAGAGAGATCGGAGCAGTAAGACATTGCCATGAGCTAACATATCGGCAAAATTAAGAAATCTGATGGCTCGGGACGAGTTCAAGAATCTCGGCTTCGCAGACCCTGCGCTGGCAAAAGCCCCAGCAGAGCCAGAAAAGGGCGTCAAAGGCGAACTCCGGTGGTAGTAAGGCGAGCGGGCATCCCCATAGTCGGACAGGCGTCCCTAGTCGCCAGGCACAAGCACAGGCACGGAGGTGCAAAGGGGGGGGAGGAAGCTTGAGGCTATTGGCCGTTCCCATGGTGACATTGCCCAACCCGAATCAGTTCCTTGTACATAGTATTTCTGGCAGTGATCTGGAACTTTCCAAGCCCGCTGTCCTGTACCATAGCGTCCCCCCTGCTACAGTAGCAAATCTCTTCACTCCCTTTACCATTGATGGCTCGACAAGGTTGCACCTTGGTCAAGTCGTGCAGTTTTATGCTTTATGCTCAACCATCATTCACAGGACGGATGCCAACTCAGAACTTGGGTGGCGCTATATTAGCATGGAGCTGAGCTGTGCCGGCTAGCGGTGCAGATTACAGGCACACAGCGCTACTGGCCAGCGCTACGCACCGCTACGGCAGAGGCCACAGCGCCTACTCGTGCTAAGTTCTGGGGTGTCTCGGAACATGCCAAGGGGTTGCCCCGTCAACCCCCACACCCAATGATGACTTGCACAACTCCATTTACACAGCACCGAGCACACACCTGTAAGGTTTGCATACAAAACGTCACGCCTCGCATGCGACCTCTCTAATTAGCTTCCCGTCACCGCCAACAGCCTCCGGTACCTCAGAACAGGTCGACGGCACACATAAAGCCCTCGTACCTCCCCTCTGAGACCGGCCGCTCGCCTTCATTTCGTTACGATCCGCGTCCAAGGAAAGGAACATGAGGCAAGCTGGTGAGGTCAGGTCACGGAGGGCGTCGCCGCCGTCGCCATCATACATGACAAAGGACGAATTCGGTACGGCATACAGGATACAGGGTGGATTGACCGATGGTTCAGGCTGGTCGCTAATCTACAACAATTCGTGAGCAGCAAACTACCTCGCAAACCTTCGAAGCAAGCCCGTGGTGAGACCCGGTGGTGCCAGGCCACCGCCTCCCAGCAACCGTCCGCAGGTAAACCGAAACAGTCTCAGTAACATTAGCTACGATGCATCGACGACGTCACAAGATACGGCTCATCAGCTGGGCCATCAGCGATCCCAGTCGCACACGCCCAGCCTCATTGCCGGGAGCATGGCGTCAACTCGCCTGTCCACCATCAGCTCCCGAAGCCGCGACTACTATCCCACCAGCCCAACGCCGCCTCCATTGAAGCCCGATACGGTTGTGCCCACGGCTAGCTATATGGAGCGGGGCCGGCGGTGGATGGAAAGAGAGGAGGCATCGTCTCTGCGAGATGCCATGGAAGAAATGGATCTCCGAGAGAGCAGAAGGGCTTCTCCTGAGGGTGATCCTGCTGTCGAGGACGACGAGACCCGTATCTACAACGCTGCCCTCAACGAAGCCGCCGAGCTCGTATGGGAACATCAGCATGGAGTCAAACCCCGGCCACCCGAGGGTGCGTACCGGTACCGACCGCACCTTAGAAAGGACAGCTACGCACATGCCCGGGCAGCAGCTGTGGGGCAAGGAGAAGAGCCATTCGGCACGAACAAAGTGAACAGGAACTCATACTCGACCACTTCATCGGAAGAAGAAAACGGCTCTCGACAAAACGGATCCCCCGGAGCAAAATCACGTACCGACGACTCTCCAACCAAACAGGCAAAGTCATACGGGAATGTCGGAGGGCGGTTCACAGGCGGCCGGCGCAGCAGCATGAAGAGGAATATCAGTGGAGAGGTCGAACGACCCTTCTCTGGCGATCAGATATGGGAAGAGCCCGAAGCCCAGCCAGGCGAGGGACCCACGACAACGACCCCTCCCAGCGGTGATTCGCCCGTTTCCCTGCATATTAAGCCGTCCAATACGGTCGGACGAGTCCCCTTCCCACGCAACCAAGGAGAGACGAGCCCGACCAAGCGATTGGAACGCATAGAAATCCACAGGAACCCCCCGACTCGATCCCGCAACGCCCAGTATCAAGTCAACACCCCCGTTGTCAACGGTCAGAAGCCCTCCCATGGACAGCATCTGAATGGAGTCGAGATTCGCAGTCAGGATATCCGCGAAGCTACTAGCATGAGGCTGAAGGACCGCAGTTCTAGACTCCCGGAACCTACTGCAGTCAGCGACAGCCCTGGAAGGCCCATTGTAAGCTTCGATACGAACTGGAAAGCCCCGGAGGAGTCCCCGTCCACTGATGCCAGCTCAGACCGACCAGACCCGACAACGCCAGCATCAAACCGCTTCCGGTCCCAGTCCCAGTCCCAGTCTCAATCCCAAGCTCAATCCCAGCCCCAAACGCCATCACGGCCTATGGAGATCCCTAGCATTGTTGTGGCGGAAGACCCTTCGCCGAGACCACGGGCACAGACGAGCGCGAGTGTGCCGTTCATCTCGATAGCGGAACCGGACGACGCCCCAAGGCGGCCGACGCCCGCAATCAACGTCCCGTCCATTTCAGTCGATGAAGCGCCGGGTCGCCGTAGCGTCCCCAGCATCTCAACGCCGAGGGACTCACCTGTGAGAGGCTCGGTGAGAGGCGCACGTCCTCTCCCAACACCAGGGGCTCGTGGGCCTCAGGGCTCGCGCGACCTACCGCAGCCCCGAGGCCACTGGTCACCAGCATCAGGCGCCATCAGGCCAGCGGGAACCGTCTGTAACCAATGCCAGCGCCCCATTGAGGGCAAGTTTGTGGCGCTGGCCGGGTCTCCTGAGCGCTTCCACCCTCACTGCTTCCGCTGCTACACCTGTAACACCAGACTTGAAGCCATGGAGATCAGTCCAGAGCCTGAGGCATCACGGGCTGAGCGTGTGGAGAGGATTCGGCGCCGCGCGGCG